TTAAAAATGCATAAGATGGTAGATTTTTTTTAACTTAATTTTTGAAAGTGTTCCGGAAATACTGACACTTTTATATATATCTTAAATTCAAGGTTAAGTAATATACTTCATTATGGAAAAAATAATTTTTGACATTATTTTGTTTCCATGGTGAAAGCGGACATCAAAATTGATAATTAAACATACGATTTTTGTAAAAAATTACAATATTATTCATATATTATACTTATAAACCATAAAGAATGAAATCAAGATAGAAATAAGATAATAGGAGATAATGATGCACTATCTACAGATTTGCCCCGAAGCGTTTTTTGTGATGTGATATTATCACTTTCAGATATCATCTATACTGGACCCAACTATGTCGCGACCCCACTGTGTTGGGTTTTTTTATTATATTTTTTTAAGATTCTGGGAATATCTTCGTAAGAAATTATTTAAGTAATAAGAAAACTAATAAGCTAAAATATGAAATTTTGTATCGAATATTATGCATATGTATATAATTACATATAATTCTAGTTTATATTCAAAAACTTTATTCATGGTTCACTCTAAAACCACTGAATTCGCTTCAGAACAAAAATATTCTAATAAGAGATTTTTATATTTTTTTAAATGTTTATCATTTTATAGTTTTTGTAATAAAAATCTTGATATTTCTATTATATTTGGAAACTTATGAAGCCATAGAAATGCTTAAAACTTTAATAAGCCATAAAATGTACATAATTTAATGAAACTATAGAAAAAAAAAAATAAAATATATGTCTAATTTTTACATTTCATATATTATATTTAAGAACCTTAAAAATTTAGTATTATAGTACTACGTATAACATTTTATTTTTGTAGTGTTACATAATTGGTACTAGTTTTTTTAAGTTGCATTAAAAGTTATATATATATCAATCTTTATTATTAATGACCATTATTATAGCATTTTAGTGAAAAAAACGTTATTATCACAATTTTTTAATGTTTTAGTATTTATGCTAATAGGGTCATTCCAAGTGAAATCACCTAATGTGTGTGCTGGTATAGTTCAGAAATTTATGAAATTTATATCATAGACTTCTTAAAGATCATTGACAACAAAAATAATATTTTTTTTTTATTATTGTTTTTTTACCAGATAGTGCATTTTTTATAATTAAAAACATGAAAAATCAGCCTATGTTCTAGAGCCTATAACTTCACATCCAAATAAGTTATCACTGTGGAACTAGCACTGTTTTACTCATATTAAATAGTACTTCAATTTCATTCTTAAGTTTATAAATTTTGAATTTTTTTGAACATCGAAATTTTGATTTAAATTTTTTAAATTTGCAGTATTTTATTAGCAAAATTTGAATGACAAAAATTTTTTTTAATTTTTCAGAAACTTTTAGTAATGTTCTTTTAACCCATATCATATTTGAATCGATTTATAACTTTTTTTGTATCGTTTTGCGGTCTTGAACATTTAAGGTTTGCTGATAATAGCCAACTTTATCAACTCATTACACAAAAGTGACTGAACGAATTTTTTTCAAATTTACATAGTACTTTCCTTTAGGCAATTAAAACGTCTGGTGAAAATTTTATGATGGAGAAATAATTTTAACGCTACTTATAGAATTTAAAAATAATTGGTAATATCACAAAAAAAGACAACGCCTAGGTTAATTATAAACTCGAACCAAAGAGCTATACTATCATATTAGTGAATAGCAAATGACATGGTTAATCTTTATGATACGTGCAAGAATATTAACTGTATTATATATACTCCTCAATTTTTAAGTAAATCTAAGCCAGTTAAATAATTAAATTGAGGAATTCTAAGGAATCTAGAATTATAAACTAGAATCGTTTTATTTGTATTTATTATTAACATTATTATATGTTAGAATAATTAAACATAATTAATAATCATAATAATAATAACAATTTATTTTATTTGTTAATATTTCTGATATGATTTGTCTAGTTTTCAATCTACCTATTTCAAATTTTTAAAGAAAACGACATAACAACACATTTCTACGAAGTTCTTAAATATGTGTTTACCAACATTGTTCCCGAAATTCGTCCCTACGATTATTTAGTAAAAAACTTTAGTAGCTCTTTGAGTAATATATTTTCATTTTTTAGTTTTAAATTAATATTTTTTTAATCACAAGTAATCATCAATTTTCATTTAATAAAATCTACTTGCTTATTATTTTTAATATAAAAGTATAAAAGAATAAAAATATTATTTTATTTATTTTATAATATAATATAAAAATATAAAAGAATAAAGAATAAAAAGTAAAAATTTAGTTTTAAATTAACAAAAATAACTTAATACAGTGGGGTCGCGGCATAGTGGGTCCAACTAAAAATTGCTTCGAGGCAAAACAGTAGTGTTTAATTTAAAAAATTGATGGATTATTCAAAACGCATCATGATCTCCTTATTTATATCCTTATTACTATTTTTATAATTTATAAGTTTAATATATGAATAAATATTTATTATAGCAATTAAATATAGTATAAAATTAATATTTAATAATTTAGTATTGTAATTTTTACGGAGAATTTATAAAAAATTATAAAGTAGTTATTACTTTTATGTCAAATGCGTACAAAAGTTGGTTGAAATACTTAAAAAAAAATTTTTTTTGTTATTTATAAATGAATTTACTGATCTACAAGGAATTTTTATCTAAGACCAAAATATACTTTTCTAAACCTATTTTTACACAATTTTAAATCTGCAATTACTTTTTCGCATATGGCCTAAATAATAACAAAATCCTTCTAATATAATAAAAATACATATATTTGGATATTAGGTTACGAATGAATAAACAATAAATATATTTTAATTAAAAAAAAGTTGAAAAAATTCTACTTTTTAAACTCATTTTTAAGTTTTGAACCACCTCTGTATAAAGGGAAATAGTTAAGTTAAAAATTTTAAATGTAAAGTCAAGAATTTTAACACAAAAATAGCGTACGGTAATCATTTTTACCGCGAAGATAAAATAACGTCCGAAATTTCTTTTTTCCATTTTAAAATATACATTAGTTGAAGTAGTTAATTTTTTGTGAAAAAGTTGTCATTTTTAACGCCCTTGTAAAAAGTTAGTGTCAAATTTATAAAAAAAATATTCAAAATGATAGGTAATTACCTCATTAAAAAAAATTTGTATTTATCCATAATTTTTTAAAGAGTTATAGCAGTTATAAGTAAAAAAAATTTTCAAATTTAACGATTTTTAAATTTGTAATTTTTTTAGAGATTTTCCTCATTTACGGGGAACGAGAGTAATATTTTCAATTTTTTTAGGGTAGTCTTCGGTTAGATACAATTTGTGGTCTTTTGACTTAACGTAGAAAGAAATCGGTTCGGCGAGAGCTGAGAAAAGTGATAAAAGATAAAAAAAACACATCATAGTAAAATTAACCTTCTCAGTTTCGCATCGAAGCTAAAAGCTGTATAATTGTTGCTTAAGAAGCAATACTGCCCATCATCTTAAATTTCGGTCAACATGAAATTGAAATTATATTTCATATTTACATATTATTTACCTTTTTGATACATAGTAAAGCGATTTAATTAACATGTTTTAGTGCATAAATTATAAGCCCTGGTGATATAAGGAAAATAATTAACAACATATATTTTAATAATAAACTGTTTTATTCTAACATTGTAATCATATGGTATTAAAATAATAGCATATTATTATTATGGTGATATATTAATGATTATAATTATAAATATTATTATTATCATAACTATTATAAGGTATGCCACTTAATAGTGCTCTCCAGTTTCCACATATAGATACACTTGAATTAAAAAAAAACATAACGACAAACATTTGAAAAAGAAATTAAATGAAAAATTGGAAATAAGTTATTATACAATAACAAATATTAAATACTTAAACAAACATAGTAAAAACATTTTTCCAATACAGATGATTTACAGTTTTACAGCCCTACGTATAATCTACAAAATATTAATTATAGAGACCGAACGCAAGTACATTTCATACAAACAAATTATGTCAGGTGAATAAACAAATTTAGGAACATTTTTTTCTAGGTAGTTATTTACACAGAAACCAAATACCGGAGACTTTTCTTTTTACAAAACAATTTTAGCGTTTATATTTAAATAATAATATTATAATAATAAAAAACATGATAATAAACCATAGTAAAAAAATTCCTCGAGAAATATATCCCTATATAATGAAATGGTAATATAATCAAAAACACGAATGCATAACAAATTTTCTAAATAATATATAAAAAAAAATAATATTAAAAACAAACAATGTTACCTTAATTTGTATTTTGACAAACATAGATTTAAAAAAATCATTAATTTCTTATTAAATTTAATTTAAATGTATGATTGGTAAAATTATGAAATAATTGGAGAGCTAAAAAAAAACAATCTAAAAAAAGTGTTACATTATTAGGCCTTACATTATATAACTAACTAACCCAATGTATATCAATACTCTTACATTTTCGAATAAATTCAACATCTTTTAAATTATATAATATAGTAAATATAATAGGTATCTAACATTGGACAGGTGATAATTTTTTGTACTTACTGAAGATTATTTTTATATACTGCATTGTACCTATAGTTAAATTAAGATTTAAATATCTTTTCAATTTTATAATTATTTGTAGTTTCGAAATACACTTTTTTTTTGTATTTTATGTTTTGTAATAAAAGTTTTAAAAAGTAGTAAGTTGTTGAATACTCGTTATTAATAATATACAAATAATTCACTCCTTAAAATCTAAAAAACCCTAAATACTATGTAGTATAAAAAATCTAACTCGTATTTCACTACTATTAACAACGAAGATTAACACACAATGTACTTAGTTTAAAGCAATGAAATTGGTAAAAAAATTATACTAAATAAATATATTGGATGATAACAAAAGTTTTTAAATAAAATTTTTTTTTAATTACAAATAATTAAATCCAAAATAAAATTTCCAAAATCAGGAAAAATAAAAAATAAATTGTGTTCAATTGATTAAGTACAATATTATCAAGTAGTAAAAAAAAAAAAAAATGAGTATAAAATTAAAAAGAAATCGTTTTAATATTCGAATTTGTTTAGACACGTGTAAGTCAGTGTTTTATTAGAATTTAAGCGATAACAGACTATTAATTACCACATTATATTTTTACGTATACATGATTCCATTAATTAAATTAATTAATTACGATTAAGGAGTACATTCAGACTGAGCTTGATTATTTAAGTCACAGGGAGAATAATTATTGGCTACTTATTTTTTACCCTGGATTTATTTCAATCATAGTAAATAATTATATTCGAACGAAATAAATTGAATATTACTTAATATTTTTATTTTTGAACACATTGTTGAGTAGATAATTTACATTAATCAAACAAATAAACGTAATTTAGATCCAACATTTTGTATCCATTAGTTTATCCATATCAATTTTCGATCATTTTTTAAGCTGTTATGTAATTGAAATATAATTTTTTAACTTTTATTGATTCACACTATTCTAGCATCACTTCTTTTGTTAGATTATTTAATATAAATTTAAGAAATAAAAATACATGATACCATCACTAAAATTCATTCTATTGCTAAAAATACACGCAAAAAAAAAAAAATTAACTAAAATAAAAATACTAACAAAAAGTGCTAATAAAAAAAACAAAATGTGTAGAAACTATAAAATAGGTAGTTCGAATTATTTTTATACTTTTATACATTAATTTCGACTTGACTAGATACAAAACTAAAATGTTATTCTTTTAAGAAAAAAAAAACATGTCCAAGTGAGAAATAAATAATAAAAATTCTTATTTTATAGGAGACACCCTCTCTCTTTTTCTTATTTTATACTTTAAATCTTAACCATTACAAAATACAAATCACGCCAAACTCTAAAAAAACACTTAAAAATCTTAACTCGATATACACCACCTAAAAATCCATTACATACCTATTAAAGTTTTATAATAAGATAAGAATATACACTTCTATACAAATCATTTATACTTCTAAATAGCGATTATAATATACCAGATGGCTAAGTTTGTTTAGCATTATATGTAACACTATCTACACTAACAAATGCGCTGTAACAAGTTATAATTGTATAAAATTATATAAATGTTAATCATAATCATAATTTTATTTTTTATTTGAACAGGTACAGACATAAACATGCCGGAGTAAAAATGTCAAACGAATAAAGAAATAACATAACTTACGGCGACAAAGTATAGAAAAACACCTAAAAGTAATTTTAATTTGTTTAATAAAGTTTTAATACTCCGCCGATAATAAAAACCACATTATAGATAATATTGCTAGTATCATCAATGAAGTGTTCCCATTTGTACGTTCCGTTCCTTTCTTTAAAATTTATATTTCTACTCATTTAGACTATAAATAATTATTCATTAAAAACATAATTTGTTTAATGTTGTACTATTAGTGCATAATAACAAAACATAAAGCATAAAAATCACGATTAAAAAGTATTAACAATATAAAATAATAAATAAAAAAAATGTAAATAAATTAAAATTAAACATGGTCTAAAAATGGGTTAAAATTAACTAAAAAGAAGAATTTTATCATAAAAAAACTTTACAAAAACTCGGGGTAAGCTGAGGTATATTTTATTAAAACAACTATTTTATTTATTTTTGCACCCCCCGAGTATCGTCAAACTAAAGAAAAAATCCGTATACCATTTTTCTGATTCGTTAAAGTTATCCGCAAAAAATAATGTTATACATTATTCATTAACTTTATTTTTATAATTGTTGTTTTGTCATCAACTTATAAATTATATTATGATTGATTAACAAAACAAGAGGTAGTGCGTTATTGAGCATCTGAACAAGAAAGTCTAATCACATGTATAGTATGTAAATAAAGTTATCGTATAGATTACAGCTCAAATATATTATTTTTTTTAAATTTATTGTACTCTACGTATATAAATTAATTGTACTGTTGTTCTAAGAATAAAAATTACTGAAAATCGACAAATCGACAACAGAATAATTATATGATCACACCATCCATCATCATCTCCTTTACTCTCCAAAATCACCATAAGAAAAAGAACTTTTATAATTAAGACTAAATCTATGTACATTTTATATGAGAGAGCATATACTAGGAAAATACTCCAACTGTCGATAAGCTCAAGTTATAAATTAAAAAGGTTTGACACAAACATTAAATATTGGACTAATCGAAAAACTATTTAAAAAAGGAATATTACTTATTTAATATTCTTCTAAAGGGCTGTGAAATCGTATTACCTTTATTAAATTTATGCGCGCCTGACTAGAATTATTTTTACCTTTATAAGCATTGAAAACTTTTTACATTAGTGAAAAATGTTTAAATTTATGATTCAATTGTCTATTAATGGGACCCTACATGAATATACACTACATAAATATCAATGAATGCGTTAATAGTTTTAAAAAAAAAAAAAAAAAAAAAAATGATGAACAAAATAAAAATACAAAAAACGACTCGTTTTGCAAATAAGGAAAGTTGTCTTGTTACTTGTACTGATTTTTTTATACTAAGCCCAAGTGATTGATGGCGTCCATTATGTCATTGACTTTTGTATCCCATATGGAATGAAGCAACTTTTCAATTGCAACGGATGTATAATCTGGAGGTTGTTGTTGGAGCACCGCAGTGTTAGTTACGGTGGCGGCGGCCGTCATTTGAGAACGGACACCGGCCCCAGCTGAAGCCGCCGGGACCATGGCTGTATGTTATGGCCACTGGCGAGTATAGTACAAAGCGAGAGGCTTGACAAAGTGGTAGTCTACTGACGAGCAATGAGGACAAGTTACTTTGCGACTATAGTCGCTGTAGAAGTTCAATCGCTGGTGTGGCATCATCATTGCTTTCTGACAACTATTACACTAGAAAGATATATAAACTTGGTAAATAAAACTAGGCATTTATTATTAACACAATTACAACAATAAAAAACTCTATGGATTTATTGAAAATATTTCACCGAGTTCAATACAAGCTAATTCAGGCTTAGAAATCAAAGGCACAGGTAAAAATAACTTAACGCATTACGAATGGATGAAATTTAAATAATTTCGATGACTTCCAAACAAATTTTAAAATTCAAACGTCTTTAAATATCACAACAGAATAAAATTAATTTTTTTATCATATAAAAAAAAAGCAAATTATTGTGATATAATTTTTTTTGTAAATATTTGATAACTTATTTGATAACTTAAAATAAATAAACCTTTAATTTCAAAGTAATAAGTCATTTTTAGACAATTATGATATATTTACATTAGGCATATTATATAAATACACAGAATGGTCTGTTTATCGTAATACACTCATTTGCAAAATAAAGTTAATTTCGGGAATATTTTTGTTTCAGCGTTTTGTAGTTACATATATTTTTCAATTTATCAATTATTAAGTAATTTTTCGGTTGATCCTTTTAAGGATATAACATAATGTTTTTAAACAGCAACATATACATGTATTTTTAACTGGCTAATAAAATCAAAATGATCTAATTATGAAAATGATCGGCCAATAACAACTTGGAATGGTATTTCGGAAGTTATTATCATTTTAAAATATATACACTGGAGGTAAAGCACGAGTATTTTTATTATTCGATATTTGTCGGTCGCTTTCTGACTGCCAAAGATTGTTAGTAACTTCCGAACAATTGGTTCTAAAGCTATTATAGCCAATCATTTTTTATTTTATGAGCTAGTAAAATAAGTATGATGACATTTAAGAAAAATATCTGATACCTTTATAATGTATAAAGGATAAACTGAAAAAATATTTAAGAATTGATAAATCGACAAATCTATATTTAACTAAAAAAAAATATATATATTTTTGAAATTTTATTTCGTGAGTTATTGAGTAGGTTATTATAACTGGATCACTCTGTTTACTAGGTAGTAGGTAAGTATACAATAAAGTACCTTTAGGTGTTCATTACAACATGGCATAGCGGCAAATACATCATATGAATACATGGTACCCATGATGAGTGAAGATCCATCCCACTGAGTAGCGCAAAACCGACAACATAATTTTCTGTCAGCATCTTTACCATCCAAACATTTCATACACACTGCATTTAAAAATAATGCTCTTCCTTCATTTTTAACCTGTAAACATACATAAATGAACGTGTAAAAAACATGAAAATCAACAATAACTAGAGATATTTTCCGGTTGATGATTTAAAAAAGATCTTGAATATAAATAAGTACACGGCACCCACTACTACTACCTTCACCCCTTCCTCATTCCAAGAATCGAACCCTAAGGCTATATTAGCGTATGGTTCACGGGGACTTGTAATAAACGCCCTTCTCACGCACCACCGATACTATAACCCTCCTCCCTATTACTTCCGAGTTCTAATGATTCGTGTCTGCTATAAGCAATAATAAGAATTTTGCCGCGGGCGAAATCATTAAAAAGTGTACTACGTTTACTCGGAGAAGAGAAAAACCAAACGACGATGAGAAGAAGTTGTTTAAGAATAAACTAATGTACGCACAGCGAAGCGGAAATATTGAAGCGCGCGCGACATTTAATGGGAAAAACTATACAAACGGATCTTTCCGGGTTCGATGGATGAGGAAAATACGTTTTTAGTCTCTACTATCTGCTCTCATCCGCACACAAAAGCTTACAGGAAAGAAAAGACTACTAAGATCCATTAGACAAATAAAGAAAGTGATTTCCAATGTTTGAGAAGCACATACTTTGCCGTGTAATTGTCCCCAACTTGATACTCACAATCATGATGCTTGAGGACATAGAAGACGCAATTGAAAATATATATTATTTTCTATACGATTTGACGAAATATATCAAGAATATTATCTAAGTAAACTTTTTTTTATCTAACCGCGATTCAGTATAGGTTAAAAACATTGTCTTCTTAATATAATTGAGGTTATGTCATAATGAAGTTCTCATATTTAATGCTTTCGTAGTTTTTAAATCTTTTTTTTTTTAATTCTCAAGTAAATACAACTTAAAAGTAATAATACAAGATATGTAATTTATAACCGTATAAAGTATTATTAATATATATATATATATATAATTTACTAAATGAAAATAATGAGAGCGAAAATCGAATTACTCTTGATACATTTCCATTAATATATTCTTTATACTTTAAATTGATAAATCATTCGTAGTTAAAGCCAAAAGTTTAATCTTAAATACAATTTTGCATAAGTGACTCAAGGAAAAGAACAAAAATTGAGAAAAACCAGATGAGAGTGCTAAACACAAACATTTGAACCACAGGGAGGAGCGCATAGTCAGAAACCACCGGTTTTAATTATTAAACGACGACGTATTTATCTTATAATGTAATAATACTACAAAGGACTAATCTCAATGTTTACACAAATGTTACAAACAGCCTGAACGATTCTTACAAAAATATAGTCAAAAGACACGTTCGTATACAAAGTTGTTAACGCATCAGAGATGTTGAAAGTTTTTAATTGGGCCCACCCTTTAATACCAAAGTTTACGAATGATGATATAATCCAGCAGTTAAAACCTTGATGTTACTTGGTTATCAAAAAAGCTGATCGCCCATGCGTATTTAATTAAGAACAAATCAGCAAAGAAACTGTACCACGACCCTTTAAAAAAAACTTGTTTATTTAAAGGGAGCAACTAAGTTAGTGCAGATTAATAATTTAACTAAAAGAAATTTTGTATTTATAAAAATTAGTTGTTCTATATCCCTAGTAACTATTTCCATCAATAGAAATAAATCTAAAACAATTAGCTTGTTAAGAGAAAAGGTCATACGAATGCCGTTAATATTGACCAACTAAATAAATTAGTTATTTGCCGGACAACAATCATCAGACGACGGGACTAACCAATTGAAAACGCGCTTTGTCCTTGCTTAATTAAATTAAATTACATTATTAATAACTACCGGTCAACAACGTTGGAATGATTTAAGAACCGACCTTGAGTCATACATAACCACATTACCATTAATAAGCTAATGTACAATAAATCTTTGGCGCCAATACTTTTCTTTACTATTATTTTAAGGCAATCCTTAGGATTTGTCCTAAAACACTGTAACCATAAATTGTCATACCCTCCACTGAAAAAAAAACAGATCATGTTTTTTTTTTATTATTCTGAGACTTGTAAGTCACTGACCCGGAAGGGAGAGACGCTAGGGTCAAAAATCGTATGGACGATTTGTAAACTATAGCCGCTTAACACTACCCGCTGAAGACCTTAGAAAGGATTTAGGAGACCAATACGGTTTGCATGAGAGGATAAATTGTCGAAGGGTTCGTGTGAAATATGCTTTAACAAATATTAGCTGGTTCGTGCGCTTTATACAACAAACATTCTAAAGAAATTCTTTTAATACGGGCAAACAACAATCTTTGCTCACAAGTGTAAATCTTAGCCAACAACAAAAAAAGCTATTCTAAAACTTAAAACGTCTCAGTGACTTACCTCGACGGCATTTTTGTTGTACTGCTTAGGGCTGAGGAAAAATGTTCCGTCCACTAAAGGATATCTGTCAAATACCAACATGACATCAGAGCAAAGCACACAGTTAACTCGCGATTGATTTTGAGCTGCTAGAGACGACAATATAAAAGATCTTGTTTCATCGTTGCCGTGATTGCCCTCGTCTTCAATCTATAAAATACAATGCAAAGTCAATTAAGTTTTAAATGAAATTTAATACATGAAAACATATTAATTGAAAATAAATAAATTAGATGAAATATTTATAAAAGTATTAAAAGCAATATTAAAAAAACTTAATCAAAATTTATAATTATTTTTTTTCGAATGAAGTAACTAGTCATTTCACTCAAAAATTCATCCCTTAACACAATATATTGTTATGAAATAATAAAACAGTACTGAGAATTAAAATGATAAATACAATGATTATTAATGAAACAATATTTCTAGTTTCCAATAGTGAACAAAACATTTTCTTCGAATTAAAAAGATTTTTTTTCTAATTAAACTCAATTACACGTTTATCTCTTCTGATTTCACATGCTAAAGGGGGAGCCGAATAAAAGTTTTAGGTCCATTACTTTTTTTTTTTTTTATATATATATATATATATATAAAGGTATATTTGTTCAGGATTCGCAATTAGTCGATGACCGGTTAATGGAAGTCACCATTCTTTGGGCAAACAGAATGAGGGACCAACAACAATCCTCTTAACAGACATCGTATTAGTAAATGGAAAACGAAATTGCTATTGACAGGTCTATTACGCATGTAATGACCCTTTATAACACAATGAACCTCCAACTACAAATTAAAAATGAAACAACACTAACAATTTTTTTTTTACCTATAAATAATATAACTGATACAATATTACGATTGTTAAAATTTTTATTAAAAACTAAGCAGAACATTCTAAATAAAAAATGATCTATAAAATACATTTTTATACTTGTCTCAATTAGTTTCAGAGGAGGTAAAAAAATGTTGATATTGTTTCAATATAGGATAACGTTTTTTACAGCATAACGTAAAGGAGGTATAATATTACAAATGAAAAAGAAAGTGTGAAAAACGCTATAAGTAAAAATAATAATAAGATGTCTATAGGCACACGTTTTTGATATTAAAAACTTGGGGATGTTTATATTTACAATCATAGTATGTAGAAAGGGTAGTCAAAATCCATAACAAAGAAATGAAATACTCGATACACTTGGAGAGGAAGAGAAGAACTGAGGATTCAACTACTCGTACAGTACTTTTTCAAAAACACTAATAAATAGTGGAAAGCAGGTTGACGCCCGTAGGAGACCTATAAACTTAAAGAATTGCTGAAAAAAGGGGAAAATATTATCACCATACTAGTACATTATAGGACGCACTTTGAATAAGGGGGGAAACGATTTTAGATTAACAATACCACAGGAAATTGTCTATTCTACGTATGAAAAATAGATTTTATCGAAACGATTAACATTTCAGCAATATAATTTCACCATAGTTCCTTCACAATTTTTTTTAAATCATTTGTATTTTCTTTTGCACGAGTAGAAAAGAAATATAATACGAGTTAAATTTGTTCTAGTATAATGAAACACTTAGGTTAAATTAAAAGTAAAAAATATATCAAACGGAAGTCAATTAAAAATCGACTTGGTAGTAACTACTTGAATATTTAAATCAACACTCAATAAAAGGATTGGATATTCCTGCAAATTTCTAAGTGTTCTACCCAAAGATTTCAACGCTTACTCAATTTGCAGATTGAAAGTTTGTGTTTACTTAAAACTTTGATAGCGACACTGTTTGCCGATACACAATTCGAATGCATTCTAATAAATATCCATGGAGACTTAAACCACGCAACCGTTAAGTACCTGAGTATAAGATCGGGTTATGATATACTCGTAATGTATTAATCTTAAAAGTTAACAGGGTTCTCATCATCGTGATCATCATTCACCCTATTCATACATAGTATTCTATTCTATATTAGTGTTTACCGAATACCGAAATCCATTTTACATATTAAAACGAATGAAGAACAAACGTAGCTCGTTGAGACAATTGAAATAATAATGTAGCCTCTTTATACCACTCACACTCTCATCGAACGATCAACATATTTGACGTACATTCGAACAATACTCTAATAAGGACAGCCGTCAAATAACTACCCTTAAATAATTATTCATAAGGGTTGACCCATGGTTGTAAATTACCACGTTTTTATCCCTGGAGTTCTTCGTTACAGCGATAAATTATACAAAAAACGCGCATATTCAAATCGACAATTTTTAGGACACTGAATTAGCATTTACAAAATAGCTTTGAAATGCCCTTTGTACATAGTAAAAATAATATTAACTTGACACAACAGTTTGGAATTTCAAACGTACTCCGACTCGACTGTGTTTTTGTTCCCTAATTAATTAAAAAACACAGAACCATGGAACATATACTCCAGTAGATAAATGTTTAAAACTATTATGATAAAAAATAATAATAATTTCTTATAACAATTTTATTTGTCTACAGGATTATCAATGTGGCTGAAGTGAAATATAACCGGTTGAGTCAGTTTCTCAAAAAATTAAAAAAATAAAAATAAAAAAGCCAATAAGCAATAATCATAACAACAAATATACTGAACAGGAAATAATAAATCAACTATACGCAGCGGTAGTTTTACATCTTTAGAAAATGTAAGAAAATCCGGACAGACATAAAAATGCGCTTTAGCGATCATGGCGTCGCTGACGTTGGTCAAAAGGAAAAACGATTATATAATCCGGAAAATAAGCAAAACCAGTCACACAAATTACTTGTAGAAGATCGTAAATCGATGGGAGGTAGAAAAACGCTTTAACTACAATTTTATTAGACTGGTAGGTTTTATCGGAGTTTCACATACGAACCACAAGTAACAGGGAAAGAGGGGTAAAAAAGTAAATAAAAATGAAGAAAGAGGCACATAAAAATCCCGAAAAACCGACCATGGCACTTAAGAGAATGAGCCTTTATAGCAATAATAAACTATTGTGTCCAAAATGTCATATAGTTTATGTGGATTCTCTGGCGTATTCTTCTGCAGTAGCATTGAGGATAAGGTGAATTTTAAAAGTTCAGTGCTAACCATGAAATGGGCATTCATTTTCTATTGAAAGGTCTAATACGAAAATAGACCCATAACAATTTTTATAAAGATCCATACCAATTCTATTAATGCTTTTTCTATCTCACTCGATTCGAAATACACTTTTGATAAAACATTATTCATTGTTAGATTAAAGAATATTCAATGTTGGCCGTTACATAATTTTGAATTAATATACAAAAATACTAATAATATTAAAATAATTACTATATAATATGATTTTCTTACAATTGAAAATGTATTTTAAATAATTTTATAATTAATATAAAACAAATGTGGAATAATTATAATTATAGAATTTTTATATTAATTGTTTAATAAATCAAAACAATGGAGGCGCAATGATATGGGAAATGTATTAAAAACCTAATATTCTATTTCTTCTATGGAAAACATAGTGCATACATATTTTAATTATCTGNTAATTAATATAAAACAAATGTGGAATAATTATAATTATAGAATTTTTATATTAATTGTTTAATAAGTAAAAACAATGGAGGCGCAATGATATGGGAAATGTATTAAAAACTTAATATTCCACATTTCTTCTATGGAAAACATAGTGCATACATATTTTAATTATCTGATGAAAAATAAAATAAAATGTATGCATAGAATAAAAAATACGGCGAAAACAAAGATATTTATACTAAATACAAACAGTTGAGATAAATTGTATTTTCCTTCTCCAGTAAAATTTACTTTTGCAACTTAATACCTTTTCCATCACAGCACCTCAATTAAACTCATTACTAGTAATATTTATCTATCGTAAATTTGTTTAACATATTACTATTTATTTAAAAACTGAGCTCATTCAGCAAATATTTATAAAAATAAAAATATTACTCAATAGAACGTTTCGAGATATTTATGTTCTATTGGGCTTTACTTTCTCAATTGGACAATTTTTTTAGGTAATAGTGTTAAATAAAGTAGTTGTACGTACAATATAAAATAGATAATCTGTAAATAACTATTCAAAATGGTTTACGTCACGAAAGAGAAGGAAAGAATTTGATATTAAGACTACCGTGCCTCTTCTCCCTTTAGATTTTTTCTGAAAGACAATAGTAAGAGGGATTGCAAATTAAATCAAAGTAGGTACTAACCGGAACAAGATACGATTGTCGACGACTTCAAAAGAATCACAAGAATTTACGTTTAAATCTAAGCTAAGTGAAAATACCTACCTTTCTTGAAAGTACTTTTTCCTATGCTTGAAAATTATTTCCTAATCGAATTACACGTCCTAGCTCGATTTTTGCTGACTATAATATTCATCAAATCTAAATTGATTCTTCGAGGAGTCAAAAGGGGAACTTAGACATAAGATACAATTAAGTAAGAGGCTCGAGAAAAAAGTAGGAATATGATTCACCAAGTTTAGTGATATTATTCAAAAGTGTTCGCGTATATATAAAAAAAAACGTAGAGGCAAATAGAAGTAACAAAATAGCATTGAACGACGAATTTTCATAAAATATTGTTGAACGAAGTTAAATCCAAATTTGATGGAAATGCGACGTGTAATCCGCGCGTCTTATTGAAAAGAGAGGAGGTGTGTCATCGTCACGAGGGCAGCAAAAAAAGAGTAATAATAATAACATGGTCGGTCGATTCGAGAATCGGTGCGGTTCATCCAGCACACGACTACGTCAGCCCAATAGCTTACAACAGAATAATATGCCTAAGAGGAGAAAAGTCGTTGTGTTATAATATATTTATTTTTTTTTCCACAAGAAGCGTTCGGCAAATTTGTTTCGGTTGGACGACTTTTATTCGATAATATTATAACCCCCTCGTGCAAAACAGAGTAAAATAAGATATTTATATCGAAAAATATACAAAATTCACTATTCGAGGGGATATGGAAAAATATTAAAATGTTCAGTGTTCTTACCATAGAGCGCGAAACATATTTTCTCGCCAAATGGGGAGGCAAGTAAATCGAGGAGCGACCTATTAAACATACAAAGATATATTTGGCGTCTGTGTTCCG